CCCCGCAGACCCCACAAACCCCGCAAGACCATGCAAACCCCGCAACCCCGCAGACACCGCAGACCCCGCCAACCCCGCAGACCCGCAAACCCCGCAGACCCCGCAAACCCCGGACCCCGCAAATCAAACCCCGCAGACCCCGCAAACCCCGCAAACCCCGCAGACTCCGCAAACCCCGCAGACCCCGCAAACCCCGCAGACCCCGCAGACCCGCAGACCGTGCAAACCCAGCAAACCCCGCAGACCCTGCAGACCCCGCAAACTCCGCAGATCCCGCAGATCCCGCAAACCCCGCAGACCCCGCAAACCCCCGCAAACCCCCAAACACAAAAGCCGCGCGTCACATAGGCCAGAACAGTCCAAGCCACGGGGGGGGGGGCGGTCGTCAAGAGGGTTCTACAGGTTCAGGGCCCATGGTTTCCGGTTCAGGGGAGTTGGGGTTGGGGTTCAGGGCTTAGTTTTGGGTTTAGGGTATAGGGCTTTGGGCTTCAAGTCCAGCAAAATGACGTTTGGGGCCAATTTGAAGGCTTTAAGTGGTTTGGTGAGTTCAGGTATTTCGGCCTTAGGATTATGGGGTGAAGGGTTGGATCACTGGTTGCAGTTCTCTTCTCCAAGAACCAATCAAGCTTGTCACAAGCGATCAGGTAAAGACAGCCAACAAAAACAGCTGATGGGTCATGTAAAGATGGCGGTTGCTAAGAATTCCACAAACTGAGACAAAGAGCAGGCCAGTTCAGCCCAAGAGCAAACGATGAAAAGCTTGAACCTATCCTTGGCTCAAGGAGTCATTTCATCCATGCTATTGAGGGAGGTCTGCATAGTTTACACGCAAGGAGGGGGTTCACATCCAGCATAGTGTTGAAAACATTGAACCAATGTTGTCGTGCTTCCAAAATTACCTCTTGGGAGTGCTACGGCCTTTAATACCTTTAGCCCGCACGCTCCATTTGGACTTTTCTCTTCGGTAGCGCCTTGTCCAACTCGGCAAAGGTGGAGGTCTTCATGACCTCGACAATGGCTTCCAATTTGCACATGTCAATTCTGAAGTGAAAAAGCTTCAGGGACTAGTGATTAGAGGTCATAGGGCTTCGGGTCCTTATGGTAAGGGCACCGGGACCTTCTGGTGCAGGTTATGTAGGGCTCAGGGCTTAGGGCCCTCAGTTAGTCTAACAACTTGGAGCTGTAGCCGCCCAAAGCCCTAAAGCCCTCACCAACGAGATGCACGCTGCAGCCGAGCCACCGAGTGGAAGTTCGCCGTGTCTGTCATGAAGAACAGCGCACGACTTCTTAGCCTGGTAAGTCTTTCTCTTTACAGGGCCTTGTTCAGGTTGTGCAGAGCAGCCTGTAAGCCCCTAAGCCCAGCTTGTCTCGTCGAGAGGCCTCTGAGTCAGGCTCCATGGTGTATCTATAGGAATCCAGGACTGGGATGTTGGAGTTCGAAGGGACCAGAGGATTTTATTGGGGCTTCGAAAGGCAAAAGCTTTGCAGAGGGGTGAAACAACCCAAGGCCTTGCTTTCTGGAGTTGTTTAAGGGCCTAAGGGCCATGAGCGTTCCAGGACTTTCGGATTTCAGGACAGCGAGGCGTCAGGCTTTTAGTTGACGTGAGGCCTTCGCGGGCTAGCGGTTTGTCCGTCTCCAGTCGGCTCAGTGCATAGGGTCAGTTTGTCGGGTTGCTAGGATCGTTTGAACCTCACCTTAAGAACTGGAGGTTGCTGCACGCAACCCTACCTAGCCCAATGGCTCAGTTAGCTTTTGCTGGTGTGTCCGGGTTTGTGGACTTCAGAGCCTAGACCTCAACTAAGGCGCGGAATCCCAAATCCACCCGACCCCACATCGGTCTACGGATTGGGATGCTCGATGATTGTCGTAGTCTGGGGTTTCCAGGACACTGGAGGATGTTTCAGAGGTCCTTTGCAGGCGTCCGCTTGTGGTTCCTTCAAGGGTTCTACTAGGACAAGATGGGGATTTCGAGCAGCACAACTGTGGGTACTGGCGTCTGGATGTACGCACTCCCTTGGTGAGCAGATGCCATGGCCTGGTGCAGGAGTATCTGTCCGCCATGGAGAAGATTCGCGCGACGTTCGCCACGGACATCGACTTAGGAGGCCAATTACACTGTTTCAGTAGGAAAGCAAGCAATGGCTTCAAAGTTGAGATTCGGCATTCGTCCTGGGACTCTGTGGGATGCAAGTCTTCTCATAGACCATGCTTCCTTTCACGTCCTGGAAAGGTGATCTTGCAACTCTCGCTGGACAGAGGTTTCGAGTTCAGCGGTATTGTTGACAGGCATAGGACATGTTCGAGCTTGAAGAGGTTCGAAGGGATCACTGTAGACTCCCATGACTCCCAAGTGGGTAGCACTCATGAACTCTGCACATGCCGCACACTTGGCCCCCCGGTCAGCGTTACTGGCTCAATTTGTCGTGCAGGCATCAAAACAGACAGCACTTGCATAAAAACCCTGTGCGCAGAAACACGTGAAGGATGGCTGCCGATCTGAGATTGGGTTGCAGGCAAGACGTCCCCTGTGCCAAAGTGCTATTCTTGACTTTGCAACTCGGCCGTGTGACACCATTACTCGTGCTAGTACAACAACAGTGTCGTTGAAACTAGCAACACTAAGAGAAATCTGCAACGAAACCATGATTCGGACTATCGGCAATCAAGCATAAACATTCATCAATCTACTAACAGGGTTTGCCATATAATGAATCTTGGTATCATGAGATCCTTTAAAGACATTAACATCAAGAGTGATTGTGAAACAGACATTATGTACGGTTTGATGCTCTGCACCGGACATTCCCGTCGTAACAGCATTAGAAATATAGCATAACGCAACATAACCAAACACAAGCTGATATCGCAAATAACAGCATAACACATCATTGCAAAACAAAGCATAACATAGCATTTCAAGAACTTAACATAACATCGTAGCACATCACACAACATAACATCACATGCATAGCACAGGATGTACAGTGTAACACACCGTACACCATGATATGAAACGTTTCGACAATAGTATGATATAACAGTGCACTATATCGCACCGTGACATGCAATCGTGTATCAAGTTGCACAATATAGCGTAACACATTTTAGAAATGAAACCATGTTACATTATCAGGCGAAATGTAAAAAATAACAGAATAGAACAGCATGCAGTAGAATAGAATAGAATCGAATCGAATGGAACAGACTAGAAGGGAATAGCACGGAACCGAAAAGACGGCATGGACTGATTATCTACGTAAGCGGGCAGTTCTGCAAGGCTGCTGCTCGTCCTGCTGCAGACCCAAGCTAGCAGTGAAAGGCGTCGGATCAAGAGACAACTCGGGCGGTGACGCAGATCAGCGTCCGTTCGCAAAGCCGCTTAAGATCGAGCACCTCGGGTTGATTTTGCATAAGGGCCCCTTCGGGAAAGGGATCTGAGGGTTTGGGGGTTGTGTCTCAAGGCCTGCGGCCTTGGGTCTCCCGCTTTACGAGTTTAGGGTTTAGGTGGGAGGGAAGGGCGGGTTAGGCATGTAAATGGCAGAGAACGGATTCGGCGGCATGCAATTTGGTGTTCGAGGGTTTGCCCGAGGGCTCGGGCTGCAATTACCAGCCCTGAAAAGGGAAGGTCTGATGCTGGCAGAAGCCTGTCAAGCCAAAGTTGCAACATGCACTCGCATTGGAGCCGTCTCGTTGGCAGGTTTTTGTTGAAGGCACCAATACCCACATCCGAAGCCGGGCTCTGCGCCGAAAAGCGGTCTGCGATCGGAATCATCTCGAAGGCAAACTCCGGGTCCTCCACCAACCAGTCCTTAGGGATACTTTCTTGTCCAACCCACGGGTGAACCCTAATTCAGAAAACTAGCCATTTTCTTTCTTTCTTTCTTTCTTGAAGACAAAACTGCAAGATGTGCCCGGCTCGGGGATGAGGGATGCAACAGCTTCCGAGGATAGGGCCGCCCTGGGGAACAAGGAAGCAAGACTACTGCTTGTGGCGCGCACATGCTCGCACCACGTGGCTGCACGCTTCAGGATGCTTCCAGGGCATGTCAGATTTGGGCGGCTGGGCCGCGAACCCCGACAATGTCACTAGCACAGAAGCTCCGGTGGGTCCGTGGGAGAAAACTTCTCACACAAGAGTGAGTGCTCGTTCATGCTCCGGAACCCTCACTCCCTACCTAAGCGTAATTAGTGTGCTGCAGCGTTGTCCGAAGTGCAAGGACGGCTTCGGCAAAGGGGTTCGGGGTGAGGAGGCTTCGGGTTCGGAACAGTTTGCACAAGACTGTTTCTTCCATTGAAAGACTCAAATCTTCAGTCGCTAAACGTTCCGGTGTAGGGTGGCGGCAGACTGAGCATTCTGGGCTTTCGGTGTGGGTGACCATCCAGGCAGACCATCTGTGCCGGGAACGTACTAGTCTGCCTCGAAAAAAAAATGCGAGACTTGCAACACCGCCACCAAGCTCAAAAGCCGCAGCAACTGAACGCCAAAGTGGAGCTGGGCTCAAGGCATCTGCATAGATGAAATGCAGGAGGTACGTTAACTGCTCGAAGCTGATGTCCTGACACCATTTTCGTCTTGAGGGTTCTGGGCCTACCTTCAGTGCCCGCTGGGCATTAGGGTTCCTACTTCCCGACACCCCAAACCAGGAAAGATTCGCTTAGATCTGTTCTGCGGCGTGCTACATAGGGATTTTCGTGCCAGACATACATAGCTGAGTACTCCACAGCACGCGACTGATGGTGGGCCCTCTCCGCTTCAGCCTCTGGCGAAAGCAATGTGCAGACAAAGAATGCGTCAAAGCCCAATGCTGCAAGTCTGAGGTGGCACAGTGGCGTCTCTCATGTGCATGAATTCGATGAAGTGGCTCGCATCCACTGGAGAAGACCTACCTGGCTCCTCCGACTTTCATAGAATGTTTTTGCATGGAAACTTCAAACAGAGCTGGCAGCCGGGACTGCCTGCGTAAGCTTGGAAACTGATTGAAATTGTGGGCAGCCTGCAAAGCCCGCTTGATTTGGATGCTGGTTGCCAGTATCGGAGCTTGTCCCCCCAAGATGACCATCTTCTGGACTACTGCCCTCAAAATGCAACGAGACCGCACATACTGTGGCAACCCCGCCCCGCCCAACGCACGACGTACCGCTGTCAACCCCTAGCCCGGCAAAGATGTAAGGTTTTTGGTGTTGGGCTCATGAACCGAAGACTGACTCTGTGGATTCGGGATGATTTGATCGGACACCAGTGCAGAGCATCGTACCAAGAGCACCGCCAGTACATCGCACAGAAACCAGCTTTCCCGACCCTCCCTCCAAGATCGAAGGAGGAGAAGAACAAACGGTTGCACTGATCCGGAAACACCTTCTGAAGTATCATGTGTGCGCTTCAAGGGTCCGACGTTCGTCATAGATTTGATCCAGTCTGCTACAGAAGAAGCCTCATGCGACCGGAATCGAAGTTCAATGGCGGCCGCCGCATCTCTTCTGCAGAGTTCTACCTAAAATTTTCGGGCCGTCAGGCGGCATCCTGTAGGCAATGTAAACGCTTGATCCTAAATCCCAAATGCCAAACCCTAACACCTAAACGCATTAAGCCCTACAACTTCCCACAACCGAACACACGATGGCTGAAAGCCTGCAACAAAGCAGTCCTCCAGCAAGACTCTGCCTTCGCTCCGCCTGAATCAAGTTTAGGGCTTCGGGGCGAAGGCTACGGGTCTAGGCGGAGGCCAGGGCGGCTAGGGTTGTGGGCGCAGGTCATAATAATTCAGGGTCCATGGGCTTAGCTTCGGATCAAGTTCGATTTGCCCTCGAGAGTCGGCAGAGGGCGGAACCGCGTCATACCAACTAGAACACTCAGAATTTCGCCATCTACACCACATGTAGTTGTTTTGCAACTACCCTCCAAAGAGAACCAAAACCGGCAGCGAGTAAACCTGTCGCACCCCGCCGGAGCATGACATTGTGTCAGGATTGCTGCTTGCTCATGTGTACTGACACCGTTTCTGTTGCAGGCCTGGCGACTCACTGCTACTGTTGAGTAGCCTAAGAACACATTAATGAGCTTCACTTGTCATAAGTCGACATCAACATAGAGACGGTGGCCTGATGTGATGTGACTTTCCTGAATATCGTACGTTTGAATAACCAAAAAATCCAAAAGACTATGACCGCTGCTGGGAACATCTTGTTCCCTGCCGGCAAAGGGTGTGCGCTCTCTCCATTGTGAAGACTGCGCGCTTCCGTATGTATATATATATACAGTGTTTATGATATGCAACAGTATGTGTGTATATATATATATACATCTATATATATATATATACGTACACGTAAATATGCGTGTATATATATATATGTATAATATATGCGCTGCATATAAAAACCACACTACATACACATATATATATACACATACACAGTATATATACATAGTTGTTTACAGCCATATTTATCTACTTAAGCGGGGATGTGCAACGCCACTAGTGTCACACTATTGCACACCGAGCATTACCAAACAAGCAAAATCCGTGCCCAGATTTACTTGCATATCTACTTGAGCTTACAATACGGCTATCCAGACATCAGAAACCCGGCGTCGGAGGGCCCCTTTACCTCATCCCCCCTCTAAAGGCCCAAGGTCAGACATAAGACAACCTCAAACCCTAAGCCCAAAAGCCTCAAACCCTCAAATACTGAATACCTAAACCCGAAACCAAACCCGAAGCCTTATACCCGCAAACCCCTAAAGCCACAGGCCCCGACTCGCGAAACTCCGAGGAGAACAAGGCACGGAAGTAGGAGGAACCTGGGGGTATCGAAAATTCAGAGGTGCCTGAGTCAGGAAATTATATGAGGCATTGAGGGTTTATGGTTCTAGTGGTTTAGAGTGTCGGTTCGAGGTCTCTTATCAAACTAGGTGTACCTGAGAGGTATCAGTTGTCCGGGATTCGGAAAAATATGCTGCTCCGCACCACGAGTGCTCGAATCTCTCATGGCAGCGCAGAACAAGTGCCGGAGGTTCACAGTGGCAGCAGCACTGTCAACCCTTCACGGTATGAAGGATTACCACCGAAGGACGAGAAGAAGAAGGAGGCCCGGCAACACGATACAGCGAGACAAAAAAAATGCAGTACAGCAGCGCGAGGCCCTGATCGGAAGGCAAGTCAGTCCAGCTCCCGGTCCCCAGATCCAAATTCTAAGGGCTCGACAGCCGCAGCAGCAAAAAAGGAGCGTCAGCATCTTATTGCATGGCGATCAACCTCGTATCACTTATCCCCAAAACCCTGAGCTTAAACCCCAAGTCACTGCAACCCAAAGCCAAGGCTCACGCGGCTGGCCAGGACACATTTGTGGGCCGCGACCTTCCCGCTTCAAGGGTGTCGGCAGAAATGGCTGCATTCAGTGCCCCTCACAGAATTTCACTGCTACTATCGTCGCTGCTATCAAAGCTGAGGCTACCAGCGCGATTCCCAGTCATCGTGTTGAGTTTACGATTACGCAGTCACTGTCAGGACCAGGCTCATGTTTGAGGGCTCCAGGTGTTGCAGGTAGCTCCCGTCTCTCCCGTATCAAGCTTTAGACTCTTCACTTTCTGCTTTAGTTGGAAAAAAGCGGTGCTGGTGGGCCGCAAAAAACTGTGAGCATTGGCGCCTCTCACCCGCATTTTTGGTTCATATCCTCGGCTTGCGGCTTCAAGGATCTAGGCCCAGGCGTTGCAGGCAGGATGCTGGAATTGATGGCTTGGGAGGACGGGCAGTTGAAAAGCGCAAATCCCAACCCCAAAACCAATGGAGCCCCTACACGAAACTTTGGAGATTGGGGGGGCACGTGCACGCCTGAAAAGGCTCTGGGTTTCAAGAGTTTCGGCCTTGCATGTTCATACAGGCAAGGGAGTCTGCATGAGCTGTGTGCCATATAGGGTGTAGATTTAGGGTTCTGACTCAGGGCATCGACGAATTATGAGGCTCCCATATTCCTGACCTTTGTGCTCACCGCGGGTTGACCCTGAAGCCAGCAGCCCAGCACGCAAAGCCTCCGAGGCGTCTGTTCCCGCCGCCTGGGTGTTTTCGGATTTGGGGCCATCTAGCAAATCTAGGGTCGGGTTTCGGGAACCTTGCGCAGACAGGCATACAGGCCCCTCTAAACTTCATCTCAACCCTTAACCCCAAAGTCCTTGCTTGACTTCGGTGTGACACAACTTACAAAGCCGCAAATCCTCAACAACCTCAGACTCACAGTGCTTAGATAAGTTGATAAAGAAGACCCCGCAATGAAATCGCTGAGCGTTGCGCGAGCAACACGTCGCAGCTCTCCTGGCCGGGAGTGGAATGCTCACCCTTCGAAGGGCTTAGGAAGCTGCTGTCGGCTCCAGTGAGCGCTCAAGTGCTTCGGCTTTGACATGGTTTAAGGCACCCAACTTTGTTTTCAATAAGATGTCAGCTTTCCAAAGCCTACTCATGACAACAGTTTCGCTCCGCCTACACTATCATGACACCGTGAAAATATGCCAAGACGCAGGAACGCTAGCAGCCAGGATCCCCCTGAAGGAAATCATTCCTGAATTCACACGAAGCGGTGCAGCCCTGGCCTTATCTGCAAGCATTCTCCGCATGTGGTCCTGAGGCATACAGGGTCCGCGCCTTGTACCAGCTACTAGCTTTGTTGCGGATCAGCCAAGGCAAAACCACGCTACAACTCGTAACCTGAGCCTAGCCATGACAAAGGGGTTCTTCTCAATAACCATGCACGCTCTTTCGGAAGCCAACCAGCAAACCTCAAGAAACAAGCAGCAGCAGCAGCAGCAGCAGCAGG